TGAACTTAATTATAATGTTTTGGAAAACTCTCGGGGTAAGCTGCAAGAATATGCAATGAAATATATGTGATTCCATTTAAGAAATTGATGATGACCTTTATGTGACCTTTAAATAACTTTATCAGGTCAAATTATCAGTAGCACCATCTTATCATCTCATCTCCCTCCAAACCATATAACTTTTGTCTGAAACATTTTTCTTTAAAATGCACTGTTCAAGAGATATTTGAATGCGTCAATTAAAATGAATATGTAATCCTATATGTAATTGACATAAAATTTATTTCTTTTGTATATAGATATTTCTTTTGTATATTTCTTCCTCCTTTTTAAATTGAGATTAAATTAAGCATATGACTAGGAAATGAAAACATTTTATAATTATCATTCTTGACAAAGTATATAGAAATTGTCATATATGTAATTATATGTAATTTCGTATGTATGGTATATTAGACTGACAAGAAAAATAAAATTTTTTTTTAATCGGCTTCTCAGCTCAAAGACTTCCATTTTATATCAAAAGAACACCCCTAAATTTTTATTTAAAAAAAATTAAAATTTAGAGGTTGTTCGTGAACGATTTTTAAATCAAAGTTTCGATTTTCCTTACATGTTTGATTTGTTGCAAAAATGACTTAATCCGGATTTTATGTGATATGATACTGTATGATATGTATGTTTTTTTGATCGCTGGACGCAATACATTCATTTAGTTTTATGACTTTAAGAAATATAGCTCTATTTTAATGTGAAAAAATTAATTTTTTCTATCCATAAAAATGTTTTATAATCGAGTTAAATGTAATTTTTAAAGACCTTACAGGAGGTCCCGGGAAAATTCAAACTGGATCTTGTTCTAAGTGAACAGACCTACAATTTGAGGGGAGTAATGACCCATTTGAACGCTTGGAATCTTGCTAAAATCAACTTTGAAATCGAAATTTGGTTATTTTTTTCAAATTAATCAAGTAGTATTTCTTAAGGTGTATATCGTAGAACTAAATGAATTGTTGCATCATGTTCAGCGATCAAAAAAAAAAAAAATACTGTATGACATTCAAAATCCGGATTAAGTCATTTTTGTAACAAATTAAATATATGTATTAAGGAAAATCGAAACTTTGATTTAAAAATCATTTACTAGCGACCTCTAAATCATAATATTTTCTTGATAAAAATTTAGAGGTGTTCTTTGGCATGAAGTAGAAGTTTTTGAGTTGTGTGTGAGACTGATTAAAAAAAATTTTTTTTTCTTAATCTAATGTATATAGCTGTGCAGTGTGTAGGATAGAGCATACTTTAATACAACCAAAAACAGTAATTTTTCATGTAATAATTCAGAAAAACAGTAAAATATTTTTTGTAAAAAATTATTTTTAAGAATATAGTATTTGGAAATACATCAAGTGTCCAGGAGACGACGTGAAAAAATTGTGACTATTTTACAAAAATTAGTTTTTTAAAATTTGATTGAATTTAGATAAAATTGAATTTAAATAAAAGTTAGCAGATCAGGTGTTAGAACTTTTAGCGCCGGCACTCTTTCACAGATATCAAAAAAAGTAATGTAATAAAAGTATTTTATGAAAGAAAATTTATGTATGAAAATAATTTTTGCAACAAAATGTACAAATATAATCATATTGTAAAATATAATCAAACAACTCAGCATCGGTTTATGTCGCGTCAGCGCTACCTTAAAGATGAAAAAAAGCACAACGTAATTATTTCGTAAAATTTGAAATTTGGTAAAGCACTAAATTATTTAATACTATAAACGAAAAAAACAGTCAGTTTTCTAATGGGACTAACAGTCAGACCCAATCAAAGTATATGCGTGCGGCTGCATGGACTTGCGCTACTCTCCATCCTATATAATAGGTTTTTATTGTATAACTTTTACATCTAATTAAATAGTGTTAATTTAAAAACTTTTCGATAAAAGTAAGGAAAAATTTAGAACAAAAGTATATATGTATAAAATATAATTATAAACAATAAATTTATATTTAGAAATTGAAAACTTTTTTTAAATATTAATCATGTTGATATTTATTTAAAAATGAGTGTCCGTTTTTCGGATCAATACAGATTGCATCTGACGCAAGATGTTAGTCATCAGAAGTCCCATCAGAAAGCTGACTATTTTTTTGTATATAGTATTAAATTTTGTTGCAAAAACTATTTGTACATAAATTTTCAGCTTTTATAAAATATTTTTGTTATTCTGTTAAATTATTATTTTTGATGTCTGTGAAGAAGTGCCGGCGCCAGAAGTTCTAACACCTGACCTGCTGATTCTAGCATTTTGACTTTTATTCTAAATTCAATAAAATTTCAAAAAATAAGTTTTTATAAAACAGTCATGATTTTTTCACGCGACTTTCCGGACTATATGTATAGATGAATAAATTAATAATAAATGCATATTTGTTTATTACTTATTTTTACTTTGTTAGTGTTTGTAATCATCAATATAATATATGACTTTTTTTTTCCATTATTCTATCGTCTTATTAATTCGAATTATCACAGTAGCATGTAATGCGCAAAGAAGGGACTTGAAAAGGAAGAAAGAGAAGGATGGATAAAGAGAGGGGGGGGTGAGAGGGGGGGATGAGAGGCGGGAGAGAGAGGAAGGAGAGGGAGGCGGGAAAGAGAAGAATCCTAAATTTTGTTTGTGTAACGTTATAGTGTTATTCGTTAAAGTTTTATAGAATGTTCTTTTTAACAGAAGAGATTTATTCTACAAAATAATTTATTACTCTCTCTTTCTTTCTTTCTCCATTAAATTTTTGTCATTTCTTAAATATATGTCTATATAATTCAAAATATACGTTAATATTATTCCACTGAATATGTAAAAAATATTATTGCAGTTCATTTGTAAAAGTATTGTAAATTACAAATTTTTCCAGTATATTTTATTTACAACCTCAACTGATATATGCAGTGTCTACAGTGAGCATATTTAACAGCATTCTGTGTCATTATATGATTGGGACAATAATGGTCAGATTTATGGGCATACGCAAATGGGGGGCATTTTTCTTCTTAAATTTTGGCAAGAAGAAATAATTAAATTATGGAAATTAATGGCTGCGTTTAGATAAAAAGTAGCATTATTAGATAAAAAGTTGTAACTATTGTAAAATTCTTTAATATCATTGGTGTATATATTTAGATCCAGTAAGGAACTAAAAAAAGATCATTGATAATTCTTTACTTAGATTCTTTAAGATGCTGGAGTGACGGCCAAACTTGATCGACGTCCATAGTATAGATTTTTTAAATTTCAAATAAAAAAAAGTTGATAATAGTGATATCTTTAAGTCATTTCTTACATTATCGTTCTGTTTCATTCAGACGCATACATTTGTCCTTATTTAATATATTGCAACGTCGTTTTAAGATCGAACACCTATTACTAGACACAATTACTGCTTTATTTATCATTCCAAGTCAGTTACTCAATTGCATTCGTATACACGTAATTTGCAAATCTTTCTTTTTAAGCTTTTAATCTTAGTTTAAACTCAGTATTGTTTGTGCACGTAAAACTGGGTGCAGAACTGTCATTTTGTCCATATGAGCTATAAAGCTTTTGTTAAGGAAACATTTACATTAGATGATAGCTCTACGAGTTAAAAAATTTTTAATTTTTTTTTTATTGTAGTATAAAGTCCACTGCGGCACCTCCCACAATTTTGCGTCTATACTTTAATTCTGTAAAAAGATTTTTGATTCTGTTCAGTAAATTCGGAGATTTATATCAATCTGCAATGTCCGAACAATTTGATCACTCCAGCATCTCCTTAATAATTGCTTTACTGAAGCAGTGATTTTCTGACGAAAACTTATGAACTTTTCATTATTAGTAACACTATAATGAAACTAATCTTTTATTATGTTGGATATGACATTAGAAAATTACAGAAAGAAAGCACACAGTTTTTTCTGATTATAATTTATATAAATAATTTTCATACTGAATTACAATATATTTTTTGGAGGGATAAAAAATAAAAAAAAAAGGAACTTAAAGAATTGTAATTATCAAAAGAAGCCGAAACTTTCTTTAGAGCAACGAAACATGTCTTGTATTTTTTTTTAGTCCAATCGTACACGAATATTATTAAAAGATCTTTTAGTACATTAAAGGATAAAAATCCGATTGTATTTTGTCTGAAATTTGTCGAAATGCACTAGTTATGTAAACAGTACTTGCCAAATGAAAGAAGCTGGAAGGAAAAATATCAAGAAAGTTTGCTAAAGTCCTCGAAGATTGGTTTTATTGTATCGTTTAATAAGTTTCGTGTAAAAGTAAATTTTTGGTTTTCCCATGTCTGAAATTCTCTATATAATCAGATTCCTAATGAACTATGCATTCTTACAAACGTTTATGTTTGTGCATGTGTATAAAATTAATATATTAATTATGTATATACATATATATATATATATATAAATCTATGTACACTATTTTGTGAGCATAGCTAGACTCTGTCTCCAGAGCATATTCAATACTCGCGAAATATTTGATAGCGCAAATGAACAATAGGAATGTTCAGCTAGGAAATGATGCATGTTCAGAAATATATGCTTACATATTTTTGACGTCTTTATTTTTATTTTGGACATGAATTGTCTGGTGTGCATGTGTGCGTGCGTACGTGCGCGCGCGCGCGCGCGCGCGC